CATTGCCCCGCTGGCATCTGATACTCGGAAAGCCGCAGAGCAGCCTGGTGGACGGGTGGAGATGGGACGCGGGGGTCCCTCCAAGCGTCTCCCTCGTCGTCAGCCCCATCTGCGAGCTCTGGTGTCGAGAAGCCTCATGTTACAGTGCAGCTTTTGCACCTAAATTTAGAAGCATGTTCCACCAGCCCGTGTCCTCCCTCTCGCGCTCTCCTCGGCTCCTGTCTTTCCGCCCAGCTGTCGCTCGCGTTGAGTCTGGTGTCTTCCTGCCTCCACTGTGTGCCCCCCAGACCGTCGACACGGAAGAGAGACGCTTCCGCTGCGATCATGACCGCGCTTCCATATTCCAGTTCTCGAAAGAACAGCAGCCGGCCCTCGCTCCTCGAGGGGGATTTCCACCGTCCAAGGGAGATGTAGCGGGTTAGTGCAAGTCCATACTCTGGGTGCCACGCGAGGCTCTCTTAGCCGGAGAAAGTTGCAGCTCGTCCCTTAGAAAGGAAGAGGGTCGGGCGTCCTCCTGGTGAGCGGAAGTCCCAGCTGCTCTGTCAGGCCAAGTTCAACACGTGTCACGGAGGAAACGTTCAGCCTGGAGTGAAAGGGTTTGACTGACTCTTGGCCCCATTAGAAGAGCCCCAGAAATGGCCTCCCTCTGTGTGTTTCACTTTCTTGGGATTGCACTGATAGTTTTTTGTGGGAATGACACTTTACCTGGCAAAGTCACTGAGAGTTTGGGAAAAGAATATTTTCTTCTCTGAATAATTAACTATTTTCACAGTGAAAATTTCAGTATTTTATCACTAATGTATGAGCAGTGATATATACCAATTTTAAGGCACGTGGAAAAATTTTTTTAGTATGTGCAATTGAATATAGAAAGATTTCTGCCTGTTTGGACGATAGGTTTTCAGGTAGTACAAGTTAGGATGAATAATCTTTTTATATGCACAGATGTTATTGTATTGCCTGTAAGTTGATTTACAAGTACTTAAAGCATGGTCCCAGCGAGGCCAAGGGAGTTTTCAGTGAAATTCTTTTGATATTAATCCTGCAGTTTCTCTTACTATTATTTTTTTAAGTAGTTTTGAACAAAACTCTTTACTTATTTTAGGCTTTGTTGGTTGATGGTGGAAAAAAATGCTCAGGAAATATTTCAGATATTTGCCAAAAAAAAAAACAAAACACCCCAGTAATAAGATTAGCTTATTAATAAATTAGCGATACTGATTTTGCTTTACTATTTAAGGGTGTCACTGATAAATTAATTTGTACCTGTCTGTATTTAGAAATCCTAGCTTCCTTTTCCAGTCAGATGCTTAGCATAGCGTACACAATTCTGTGATCTGTACCAGTGCAATAAGATGTCAGTAGGTTACATTTTAAATGACGCTCGTGTGAAAACACCCCCCTCCCGAGTCAGTGGCTTCAGAATTTGAAGACTCGTGTATTTATGAAGATTTCGGCTTTGAGGCGTGTGATGTGCGAGACGTGGTGTGGTGGCTTCGGGTGGCCACGAGCCTCTGTGAGATGGCCTCCTGAGGACATGCAGATGGCGACGCCACAGAAGGCAGCGCCCCTTCTCCTGCTCCCCGCCCTCCTGCCCAGCCTCCAGTTAGAGACGTGACCCCACACCCGCCTAGTGGTCTCCTGCGAGACAACGTGTGGAAATATGGACATGGAGGCGCACCGCTGGTCTCCCCCGCCACTCGAAGCTGGTTCTTGAGATGCCCGCCCTGTACTTGGGGCCATCTTGATCCACAAACGGACACTGGAGACTTTTAAGCCAAGCTATGAAGGGCAGTGCTGTGGGGCTATTTTTTTTTCTTCCAAATACAGTGAACTTTCCTCTACTCACAAGGGCCACCACGTTTCAGCGTTTAGTGACAGAGCTGCTTGAAGAAAAAAATCAAAGTCTGATTGCCATGTCAAGAGAGGAAGACTGCTGCGTCTTTGTGATCTCGAAGCTGAAGATGGCGGGCCCCTGACAGGTCCAAGGGTTGGCTCGGAAGCAGCTCCTGGTCTACAGCCATGTGGTCGAGGGATGTCCGAGCCGCCTCCGGGCTCAGGAGTAGCGTGGCGTGTCTTGTCTTGGGTTGCCTTGTCACTGGCCCTGTCCTTGCGCCTCAGATGCTCATCGCCGCACAGACGCGTCGCAGCCACGCGGAGCAGCACGGTGGCACGTGGTCTCGGCCCACAGGAGAGGACGCGTCGTGCCCTTAGTGTTGACAATGTGCCTTTTGTTCGGAATGCCATGTAGGAGGGCATGCGCTTTTTGGCCTCTTTAGCTCTCGGAGTGCTAGTCAGTGAGGATGAAACCCACCTCTGCAAAGATACATCTGTCTTAAAAAATATCTAGTCACAGGCCTTAACAGAAACCACAAGGCGGGAATCACCACCAGGCACTAAGAAACGACACCAGCGGTCAGCGCACAGGCCTTCTGTGTCAAAGGGGTGAGAGCTGGTCTTTGTTGTCTCTTAACATCAGACTAATTTTTAAACGATACTTTTTTGTTATGCTAACACTAGACAGAAATCAACTGTATTTGTAAAAACTTACCTCAGACCATTTAATTTTCTAGGTGTTTAATCCCAGGGCATTTGGTATGAACCAAAGTGCATTCCTTTTCTATGTGCCTGGCTTGGGCAAGGACGGCCAGGGGTTTTTACAATTTGGGTGCAAGGCACTTAAGCCACTTTTAAACTTAGTGGGTGGTTTGGAGTCACGTGGGAGGACTCCATCAGAATGTTAGAACACACTCTCGGCATCAGTAGCATTGGGCCATATTGGAATCCTAAATAAAAGCGTGAATTATTTTAAAGAGAGCATTCATTTTTGTAATTTTTTTCATCGAGACTATTTCTGGTAAGGAGAAGACTTAAAAAAAAAAGACTGTTCTGGTTGGTAAAGGTTTTTATATTGCCCAACATAATGCTGTGATCGCATTTGGAAAAAGTGTTTGTGAACTCTGTTTCTTAGGGGCTGTACATCTCTCTGCTATGGACATATGTGGAATCAATTGTGGTTATACTCAGCTCGACTGCCGTGGTCGTGTCTGGGCAGTGGCCTGGGCTTTCTATGGAGCGACAACTTGTGACTCGAATATGCTGCAACTGTGTGTGCTGACAACATGTGGAGTGGTTGAATGTGGACTGTGTACTTATGTACGTACAGACTTTTGTGAGATGCTGCTTTGCCACTCAACATCCAGTATGTTCCCGTGGATTCCTATCCTGGTGGCCAGTTCTATGATGCCACGTGTATTGTACAGCTGATGTCAGGAGTAAGACTGTTCAGTGAATATTTGTTAAATTTTATTGTTGTGGCCAGAGATAATTTCAGAATAAAATTCTAATGTCCTACCTAACCTCTCTCCCCTTTCTAACCGCAGTTGAACGCCTGGTCTGTGTGTGGTACTGCCCTCGGGCCGTTAGCCTGGAGAGGGGTTAGCATGCCAAAGAGCTCTATACCCCTGTTCCGAGCCCTCGAAGGAGCTCATTCAACTGGTTTATGTAGCCATTCCCAGGAAACCTGCAGATTCTGAGTAGGAAAGACCAACGTTTCGGCAGGCAGCGCTTGCTTTTTGAGGCTAGCCTGCTCCTTTGCCTTCGACAGCTGTGCGTCGATGTCCTCTGCGGCCTCTGCGTGTTCCTCGCCGTGCAGAGCGCCACGTCTTCGTGCCTGCCTTCGAGGCGGTGGTTGGGCTGGGGGCGGGGTCCCCGCCAGCCTGCGTTCTGTCTGACGCACTCATCTGGGAACATTCCCATGCTGTCGCCCCCTTTGCCCCACGCTTTGGAATGCTTCTGATTGTGCAGTTTCTGTGCTTGGTGGTCTCGTGTTTGGGGTGTGTCTCCTGTCACGCCAGGTCAGATAAGAAGGCCTAGGAACTTCCGCCAGCTCCTGACTCAGCGGGCCCAGCCCCCATTACGCCAGGGCTCCCGCACGACAGCGGCCAGCAGGTGCTGGGGACATGTGGGACGCCTCAGGGATGGCGCGGGGTCCAGTGTTTCACTCTTGGGAGAGGAACTACCTGGTGTCTTTTTATAACCCTCTGCCACCAGCTGCCAAGGTGTGACAAGTGCCATTTCCTGTGCCTCTTGGGCGTGCCCAAACCTGGGAGCGCCCCCAGACCCCCAGCCCGGCCTTGGCCCTGCCACGGCCTGTGCCCCAGATTTCCATACACCTCTCGCAAACACCCTGCCAACCAGCCCCCCGAACAGTCTACTTGGGAATGAACTTCTAGCCATGTGCATTAGGTATAAAAGGGAAAGTTGGTACCAAAGTGGCTGTTTAAATCTAAAACGTCCAGACCTGATCCGCTGAGTGCCACTCCTGTCCCTGTTCCCCGCTCTCCGTGGGTGCTCTGGGCGCGTTCTTGAGTGGCCGAGTGCTGGGCTCAGACACTTCTCTTCCGGAGGCAGCCGCTGCCCCCGTGAATGTCCTTGGCGCATCAGAGTCACCTCCCAGCAGCACTGGAAGATGCTGCTGGCTGGCGCTGGCATCGGCCTGTCAAGGAGGTTACTCAACCACCCTCCGTTTTGGAAGGAGCAATGAGAGGTTTGAAGAAGGTATCTGTGGCTTTGTGTCTCTTTTAGAAATCCGAGTTACACTGCCTTTTCTCTGGGCTGCCTAGGCTTGTTGCTAGTGACACCCACGTGTCCCTAGTGGAGGGTGCCTGCTGGGGTTTTGCACACAAAGAGGAGGTGGCGCCTCCCTGCCGAGTCTGGCCTGAATGTCTGTCTTGGCAGTAGCGTCTCCTTGCTGTGGCTGCATCCTTGGTGTCTGCGGTGCATTTCCGATGTGTCTTTATGGGGCTTCATTGCCTTCTCTTGAGGCTCAAGGAAGCTGGTGGGGCAACTGAGGCACTCCTGTCTGCTCCTTGGGAAGGCAGACGCGTGAGAGTGCTGACGGCTGCTGTGACGAGGGGCCCTGGGAGTACAGACGGCTGGGCCACTCGCACTGCCCAGAAAACTGCTTCAGACCCCGGCCTTGTATGCACACTGGTTTCTCCTTCCCTTCCCTGGGAGTTATAATTATCCTCAGCTGATATTTGAGGAAACCAAAGGGACTTTGCAAAGTCACTGCAAGGTGTGGGCCTTGGACAGTGGAGGGCGATCCCCAAGAAACGTCGCACACCAGGACGTGGGAAGGGGGGACGGAGCTGGAAGGGGCATATCCACCATCCGAGTCAAGTGTGCGTCCGTTTTTGGACAGGTTTTTCAAGCGAGACTGACTGCATAGTACTAGGGACTGGTGCATCCTGGTCCCGGAGGCATCTGTCTGGTGGCTTCTCGGGCAGGTGCACATGCCCTCGGCTCACTTGTGGCAGAGTGACTGCCAGGTTGCCACACCTGCGGGGGGGCTTATTCTTTATTTTCCGTGTTCTTAAAATGTTTTTTTATATTTGAATGTATGAAAATATTATTTTTGACACTTTACTAATTCTCAGGTATTAAAAGTTCAATTTTACTGACTGTAGCAGCAGGTAAATCTCTTGCATTTAAATTGATTCGGGTTTCCTCTCATTTGCCTCCATATTTAAGAAAATATGGAACACCTGCCAGGGAAATATAGACAAATCAACATTTCCAATACAATTTTAAAATACCAATTTATGAATAAACCAATTTTGCAAACTAAAATATTGTGTCTTTCCTTGCTTTTTGTCCCAAATTATGCCCCTTCCTGAGTTTGAGGAGTTTTAAATACCTGGCTGCATTTGTGAAAGTGAAGTGAGTCGTTTGCAAAACAGAAGCCTGGGACAGGCCCCGATCATCTAAGGAAAGCTTATTTCAGGTGTTGCATGTGGGTGAATTTGGACGAATTGGTCGTCCTTTCATCCGAAGAGTAATTCCCTACTTCATTTCCCCTTTCCTGAGAATTCATCAGAATTTTGGCTACAGTAGACTTAAATTTAAAAAAAAAAAAGACTTCGGAGAAGCGGAACCCTGCAACGTCTCTTGCGGGCGGCATTCGTTGTCAGCTACTTAGCGGATGCCACCGCAGCCCTGGTTCTGTGTGGGACTGGGGACATGGTGGTGACCGCATACCCATCTGGGTCCTCGGGAGGTGCTGGAGGCTGGAAGGGCGGGCACTGTACACAAGTTGGGTGAACACACACGGGTGCCCATGTCCCGAGGGCCGCAGAGCAGGGCATGTGCGGGCTGTGATGGGGAGGGCTGCGGTCCTGCCACTTCCCTGGGGATGTCTAGCTCCAGAGAGAGGAGGGACGGGCAAGAGGCCAAGGAGCTGGAGGGGACAGGGAGAGCCCCTGAGGATGGCCAGTCGTGCCGGAGGACGAGGGTCTGGTGTGGAACGCAGCTGTCAGCGAACTGGGCTCCGCGGTTGCCCAGGCATGTTCTTCACCCCACGCCCGAGGCAGTGGCCCAGGGCTGCGGGGTGGTGGCACCCGGAGCAGATGGCTCTTCCCAGCCATCTCTACAGGGCCACCATGGGGAGGGCAGAAGAGATGAGGGGAGGCCAGCTGGAGGGTTGGGAGGGGTGGCAGGCGGACTTGGGGTGGCACGGGTGTTTCACGAAGGTGAACTTGAGGGTCTGTAGGAAACACACGTGGCTCTGGCCTAACATGGGTCGATTTAGACTTTCTGGACTTTGCCACGGTTGAATATCCCGGTATCCAATGCGCTTTCCCTTAGGACTCCCGCTGGGTCCGTGAGGACTAATTGCAGGAGCGCCCATAAGGGGTGTCTCTTTGTGTGTGGAAAGTAGCCGGCGGCTATTTTGGTTTCTGGCTTGCTACACTGCATCCAAGAGAATTACAGTATCTGATTTGTTCAAGAGAGGCTTGACAATGAATGCCTTTGGTTCCAGAGTAGGAAGCACTGGTAAGCTATGTATCTTTTCTGAAAATGGGAAGCCTTTAAATAAAATCTTATTCATTCATTCAAACTTTTAAAGGAAACTTTTTTAGTTTTTTTAGTTTTGTTTTTTTTTTTTTTGAGTCAGAGTCTCACTTTGTTGCCCAGGCTGGAGGGCAGGGGCACGCTCACGGCCACCGCAGCCTCCACCTGCTGGGCTCCGGCAATCCTTCCACCCGCCTCAGCCTTCCAAGTAGCTGGAACTACAGGCATATGCGACCACGCCCGGCTAATTTTTGGTTTATTGTAGAGACGACGTCTCGCCAAGTTGCCCAGGCGGATCTTGAACCTGCAGGCTTAGGCAATCCCCTCGCCTCGGCCTCCCCAAGTGCTGGGATGACAGGCTGAGCTACCGAGCCTGTCCTAAAGGAAACTTAAGACTGAAAAGAGGTTGTAACAAAAGGGTGGAAAGTAAGTGGAAAGAAAGGGTAAGGCCAGCTAAGCCAAATTCTTCCCCAGGATGGCAGTCCCTGGGCCAGGTGCCCTCCCTGCCCCCTCCTCCCTCCCTCCCGCACTCCCTTCCCGCTTGCTTCCCTCGCAATTGAACCTCCACTGTGAGGGGAACCCCGCCCAAAAGACAGAATTACAATTTGGTGGGCAGCCCTCGCCGTCCAGGCTTCCCCCGCTAGGTGCGTGTTCTAGAAACCCGTTGGCGTCCGTGGACCAGCTCGCGTTGTGGTGAGAGACTGCATTCGGCTTCAGCGAATCGTTCTGGAAATTTCCTGGGGGGTGATTGACAGGCGCACCTGCCCACACCGCGCTGAGCGTTTGGCAGTTTTTGACCCAAGACAGCACGACCCCTGTGCCCCACCCACCCTACTCACCCCAGCTCACCCCCAGTGACTTATTTTTGGTTTCCCTGGATGAAACAAGTCCTCAAAAGGAAGTGCTTTGCCCGTGTGGAAGAGGTGAAACAAAAAACGGCAGAAGCACTGAAAGGCATCAAAATGGACGAGGCCAAACACTGTTTTGAGCAGAGGAAGAGGCATCTCAGTAGGTGTTTTGCTTCAAACGGCGAGGACCTTGAAGGTGACTGGGTGTACACATGCGAGAATAAAGACAATTTTTAATAAATAAATTCCATTTGGGGGGATTCCCCCTTGTATGGGATGCTGTATTTAGCTTTACCAAAACAAGACAAAAATAAGAATGAAAGAAGAAAACGAGAGAGGAGAAGGAGATAGGTTGCCGCCCCAGGACATCATGTGTAGTTCGACTCAACTAGACAGCGCTAGACTACTTGAGACAGCAAAAGGCGAGCTCAGAGCAGGCGTGGGTCCCTGGTGCTGTTGCCGATGAAAGGGGCTTCGAGGAGGGGCTCTCCAGCCAGGTCTTGCCAAATTCAGGTGGGCAGAGAGGAGAGGACATCCTGGGAGGAGGGCTGTTGCAGTCGGGCCGGTGTGCCTCCCTCCCGGCCTGGGCGTGTGTGCTCACGGAGCACCTGTGTGTGTAACGGGGCCCAGCGAGGGTGTGCGGAGGCCACGCCAGCCCAGGAGGCCGTGGGTCAGCAGGAAGGCAAGCCTCGGCCCCTGCTTCCTCTGTGGTGGCAGCGGCTGGCCTGTGCCATCCCTGTCTAGGATGCCTTGCCCCGGCCCTGCCCTGTCCCGTGGGGCTTGACCACACCACATGTCCCACGTCTGTCCCCATCGAGGCCTCTTGGCGAGGCTGGGCCAGGCTGCCCTACGAGAGCGACGCAGGCCATCCGTCTCTGCCAACACAAGGCCCGGGGACCCTCTCCCTGCGTCTCCTCCCTCTTTGCCCCCCGGCCCCCCCAGCAGGCGCACACGGGCGAGCCAACACGAGAGTGTTTGGAGGGACACTACGGTGGGGTGGCCCACGCCAACCAGATCACCGCAGAGATGCTGGTGATGGCTTGTGGTGGGGTGCAGAAAGATAGGCACAGGCCTGGGTTGGTGTGTGTGCGCACGTGCATAAGTGTGTGTGTGCATGCATGTGTGTGTGTGTTCTGAAGGACCAGGGAGGTCAGAAGCCCAGGGAAGTCACTCCAGAGGGGGCTCTGGGCCTGGAGGGAGGCCACTGCTGGGTGTGGTGAGCGGGGAGTGGTGGGGCTGCAGGAGGCGAGGGTTGGGTGTGTTGTGTGTGTCTCGTGTGTGTGGCTTGTTCTGGGATTCTCAGGGCTGCCTATGGCGTCAGGACTCTCAGCCCCTGGGGCATCCTCCCATCACTACGGTAGGAGCAGCGGCTTTGTCATTCTCCGGTTTTTCGTCTCTCCGACAGCACCTGCTTCCACTGGCTGTTCAAGACACCCACCCTGCATTTTCCTCTCAGTGACGACTGATCCCCATGCCGGTCTCCACGAGGCCACCCTGACACTGTGAGCTTCTGAGTCCTCACAGCACCTGACATCGCTCTGTCTCTGCGGAGATGAAACAGAGAGCCCTCGCTTTCCAGCTGGAAGGAGGAGGCTCCCCGGCTGTCCCATAGAAAGGATCATCATTTAAAACTGTGACTTGATCTGCTGATGCTCTTGTGGGCAGATGTAAGTGTTGTGCTCAGCGGTGTCAGACTGCCAGCAGTGGTTGGCCCTGGACTGCTGCAGGGTCAGCAAGGTGTCCGGAAAGGCCTCTACCCTGTGCTCGCCGTCAACAGAGGGTGGCAGCATGTGGCAATCCAGTCTGGAACACACCGTCCCCTGGTTTCTCCATCACACTTGCTTCGATTGTGAGGTGGAATTTGGCTGAAATAGTTAAGACAGTTTAGAGTTTTGAGTTGTTCGAATGTGGATGCGTACATCCCCAAATGTGACCTCATTGGAGAGTCAGTATAGTGGGCTAGGAATTAAATGGAGTTCATAAGCTTTACAGAAAGGTTTACACTACAGCCAAGTAGAAAAAGTAAACTTTGTGCATGAGCCCCTTGGCATACTTGTCCTTGGTGACATTGGGCAGGTCATCTCCTCTTTCTGTTTCTGCTTTTGAGCAAATGGGCATGTCGTTGAGGCCGAATCATATGTTTAGGTCCTCTCTGACGTCGGCCATTCCTGGCATGCAAGCTCAATGTGTGTGGCTCCCTCTCCCATGGCTTGCGCGATCCACATCCTCAATAGCATTGAGTGCTTTTACTCACCGTTGCAGCTCAGCGGCCACACAGGACCAAGAGTTCCTAGCAACTGCAGACACTCATTATGTGCTGGCCCATTCTCCCTGTGGGCCTGTGATGTAGGGTCTCCTATTAGCCCCATTTTACAGATAGGGAGGCTGAACTGGGGACAGCGTCTTGGTCACGGAGACTGCCATCACAAAACACCACAGACTGATGTCTAAGCAACATTTATTTCTCACGGTTCTGGAGGTGGGCAACTCCAAGATCAAGGTGCTGGCAGATGCGGCCCTGGGAGGACTCTCCTTCTGGCTTTCAGACAGTCACTTTCCTGTTGTGTCACTGCAAGACAGAGAGTGTGCAAGAGCTTGGTCTCTTCCTGTTTTTCTAAGGATGTGAATCCCATCGTGGGGACCCACCCTCATGACCTCTTCTAAACCTAGTTGCCTCCCAAAGGTCTCACCTCCTGACACCTTCTCCCTGGGGTTGGGGACACACACGTTCAATCCATGACACAGAGGAAGTAACTCACCAAGGCCTCATGAGTGGTAGAGTTGGAATTTGAGCCCAGACTTCCGACCTGAGTGTCTGCAGTTTTAACCATTATTTCTATAAATAGTTGGTGAGTGAGTGACTGAGAAAGTCAGTGATGAACCCCAAATTTCTCAAAATGGAGTGGAAACTTAGCCAAAAAAGTACAGCTTGTGGGAAAAAAATGCTACCTGGCAAGGTTTAAAAACTTCTGGCCTGCTTAGGAATATTTCATATTTCTAGCCTCCTAGTCAACAACAACAAAAGAAAAAAACACACCCGGCATGACTCTGCTGTGGGGATGCCGACAGGCTGGTGTACGCTGTCCTGGAGATTGGGGCAACTGGGCACAGCTGCCTGCCACAGAGGATGCTGAGGGGCCACGTGTGTCTGTGGACTGCTTAAGACATGGGGAGAGCTGTGGAGAAGCTCGCCTTCTAACTACCCATGGCAGTGGCTGCCTTCGTAACGCCCTTGTCTTTGGAAACTTTTGCGTCCATGCACTGTGACTTCCTGGCCTGCCTCTGAACCTGGGAGGCAGTTAGCAGAGCAAGGTGGTTGTGGGCACACCGCCCTGGCCTCCGTCAGGTGTGTAGGCTGTCACACACAGTGCCAAGGCTGTTGGTCAGGGTCTTTGAAAACACCGTACATGTGTGTGTAAGCCAAGATCATTCCGGTTATCGAATAGCCCATGCTTGGTGTGGTCGTCGAAACCCTTTACTGTGCTTTGGTTCCCCACGCAAGTTGCCCGTGGAGCTATGTGTTGTTGTCACCCCAGTGACTTAACGACGGAGCTGTGGCTGAGCTGAGAATGAGAAGCCTCATTCTTGCCATTTGAAGGAGGGCGGGAATGGCCTTGGCTGAGTGCTGTTGGCACCGAGCTTCCGTGCAGGACTCCGTGCTGCCCTGTGTTTCAGTGTCCAGCAGCCTGTAGGCCAGGTTCTGCATCCTGGAGCTGGGAATACCGAGGTTCAGGGAGTTCACATCCCATGCATTCAGGAAGCTCAAGCCGTGGTCCATCGAGGGTCTCTCTTTTCTTCCAGCTGTTGTCACATCCCCCCCCGTGGACTCACCACACAGGACTCCATGAAGACTTCCTGGAGGAAGCGGTGTGTGAGTCGAGCCTGGGCAATGGAGCAGGAAGACTCAAGTGGACGAGGAGGGCAAGGGCGTCCCAGGCAGGGAGGAAACCCTGAGGAGCACAGCACAGCTTGTGAACTCAATGAGCGCGGTCCGGGGCAAGAATGTGCATATCCCAGGTGTGTGGGAGACTCGACTGTCGGGGCACGTCCTGGGGCCACCGACATGGACATGCCAGGTGTCGGCAGACAGTTAGGAACCGGAATGTCTGACCTCTGAGCTCCCGTTGACCAGAGGAGCAGGGGAGGGTGCCACGACTGCATCTCTGAGACGCGTCTTGCTTCCAGTGGGCGTCCATCGCTGGGCCTTCAACACATCCCTTATCCTCATGTTCCCCAGCCCACAGAATGGAAAGAACATAGGCTCTTTGCTTTCTGGAGTCTGGCACGCGTTGGGTGTGCATCTAAATCCACCCCTGTTGGGCAGAGAGCGGAAAAATGCGCTTTGACAAGGTTGAGACTATGTCCCTCCCTGCCGGATCCAAGGGAACCCGGCCTGCACATTTTGTATCGCGTCACAGAATCACTAGTGCCCAGCACATGGCGGTTTCTTCTAAACAAGCAGTCAGATACATGGATTTTGAAAATGTCTATTCAATTCCTGTGAAATAACCTGGTCTTCTTATATATCCGAGATGAAGCTTTCCCTACACATTAATATCTGAAGAAAGCTTTTGTTCTTTACAGTTTATAAATTTGCTCTTCAAGCAACAGGAGCAGAGGATATTGCAAGGAAAATACACATGTAAGAAAAATCTCTGTGTAGTTGAGTGCTGTACTAATTTTGTCAGATAATATGTTGCTTAACTTTTAAAACTTTGCTGTAAAGAAGTGTCACGCTAGCTGTGCTGTTTTAGGTGGATACAATACTTGTGTTTATCTTCTTTTTATTGATTTTTAAATATTATTCATATATTAATTGGCGGTGATTTGACAACAATGTGAGGTGCTTAGAAAGTATTCGTTTTTGCTCACAAGAAATGGGAAACGTGTTCAAGTTTTGAAGTTGCATTTTGGATAAATGAAAAAATATGAGAGACCCAAAAAACCTTGGAATTTTTAAATTAAGAATAAGGTGTGGGTACCCTTATTGATGTTATGTGTCCCCCCATAAATTGTGTATTTATTCTTGCATGTTTGAACTTTGGTTGCCTTAAGGTACTCTCCGTTTGATGCAACACATCTATTGAGATGCTTTTTCCACTGCTCAAAACGGGTTTTGAACATGTCAGTTTTGATGCCTTTGAGTGATTCTGCCTTTTTTGATCTCCCCTCTTGCACACCGGCAGAAACAAAAAAAAAGTTGCTCGTTGGGAGATCAGGAGATCAGGTGAATAGGGAGAGTGGGGCATGGGGGGGAGGGGTCGTGCCGCTCTGGGTCAAAAACTGCTGAGCACTCCGTGAGGTGTGGGCAGAGACTTTGTCGTGGTGGAAGAACCAGTCACCTGCTTGTCACAAACAAAGTTCACTAGAGCCAGATGCAGACTCTCATAGCAACGCTGGCCGGTCCACGGATGCTGATGGGTTCCTAGAACACTCACCTAGAAGGGGAGGTCTGTACTATGAGGAGCCCGTCCTACAGGAAATAATTTCATGTTTTTTGGGGGGGATTCCCCCCAATATGTAGTGAGTTCAACTTAATGCTTTAGTCCACTCACAAACAAATTTCTTTCTCAGCACATAGTAGCATTCTTTGCAAAAATGACTAAAATTTTGAGTGACTTTTATTTAGGTAATAAAGAAATTGTGCACATGTTAGAATCAGCTTCTCAATTTCTGTAAATTTTGGGGGGATTTTGATTGGGATTGCATTGGGTCTATAGATCAACACAGGAGGAACTGACGTCTTAACATTATGGAGTCATGACCAACATGTATGTCTCCCATTTGTTTAGGCCATCATTAATTTTTCTCAGCTTCTTAATTTTCAGTGAACAGATCTTGCCTATATCTGTTAGAGTTACCCCTAAGTTTCATCTTTTTGATCCCGTTGTAAATGTTATTTTTTAGAATTTCGTTTTCTAATGATTTGTTGCTAGTGTATAAGAAATAAATTGGTTTTTGCATATCAATAATGTACTCTGTAACCTTACTAGACTCACTTATTAGTTCTACTAGTGTTTTTATAGATTGCTTCAGTTTTTCTGCATGGGCAATCATGTCATTGACATATAAAGAGAGTCTTACTTCTCATCCAATCTGGATACCTTGTATTTATTTTTCTTGTCTGATTACACTGGCCAGAGTCTCTACTACAACACTGAATAGAAGCTTGAGAGTGAACACTCTTGTCTTATTTCTGAGCTTAGGAGGAAAGCAGTGTTTCCCTGTTAGGCAGGGTGTTAGCTGTACTTTTCTGTATCTGCCCTTTATCAGGTGGAGAAAGGTCCCATCTACTTCTAGTTTGGTGTGAGTTTACATCAGGAACAGCTGATGGATGTTGTCAAATGTTTTTTTGTTTTGTTTTGTTTGTTTTTTCCCGAATCTACTGATATATGGGTTTTCTTTTCTGATTTTTTAATATGATGACTTCCGTTGATTTTTGAATATTAAATCAATCTTGCATTCTTGGGATAAGCCCCCTCAGTCACTATGTATTACTCTTTTTATTGTTGGAATTGATTTCTAAAAATATTGCTTTGTATTTTTATATCTATGTTCATGAGAGACGTTTGTCTGTGGCTGTATTTCTTCCAATATCTTTGTCTAGTTGGTATTAGGGCATCTAGCTGGCCACATAGAATGAGTTGGAAGGTATTCCCTCCTCTTTAAGTTTTTGGAGGAGTTTACATAGAATTGGTATTATTTCTTCCTTAAATGTTTGATAGAGTTCTTCACTGATGATATCTGAGTCTGGAGTTTTCTTTGTAGGAGAGTTTTTATCTACAGATCCTATTTCTTTCACAGATATTGGGTTGTCTACATTATTTTTTCCTTCTTAATCAAAATTTA